TAATCTTAATATCTTATAGATATAGAATTCAAATATAAATTTTTTCTATATATTCTATTTGTAAAAAGTTTAACTAAATTTTAATAAAGATAGAGGTATATGTAATACTTTTTTGAAAAGACAAAGTAATAGAAAACCCAACACAAGACTTTGTTAAAGAAGTCCTTAATATTAAAAACAATGCAGATTGGAGTTATGCATTAGTAGTTAAAAAACTAGAACCAGAAAGAGAAAAAAATAAGTATTGCTAGGTATAGTGCTCAACAAAATCAAATAAATATTTGATAGTCAAATACTTAAGTAATATTTGACAATTATAATTTCTAAATTGGGTAATGCATAATCTTGATCTAATAAGTTTTATTCCAGATCACTAATGCTAATCATTTACTACAAATTTAAGATCTTAAAATTTAAATTAACTTGTGTCAAAAATAAGACTTTATATTAATATTTAAATCTTATTTTTATTTAACTAGGAATGAAAAATCTAAGCAAAAGTAAGATTAAGGTATTACAGATTTATATTGTTAGAAAATTAAACTAAATAATGTAAATATAAATTGCTTTGATTTGTAAGTTATAAGTTTTTACTTAATTTTTTTTTCATGTAGCTATTTTTAGCTCTTGTTTGTTTTGGATTTTGAGTATTCAAGAAACATGTAATTTTAATTAACCAACTATCTTTATATTCTTCTGGGTGTTGCTTAAGAGTATTATTGAGCTTTCAGTTTTCTATTTTCTTTCTAATTCTTAAAAATTCAAAGAAATATAATGTTTTTTAACATACTGCAATTATTGAATTTTTTAATAAGCATATAACTAACTTACTTTTCTCTTTTAATTACTAATTTTTTGATCTTATATTCAGTTTTTTGGCATATTTCAGGGTCATATGATTTGTGTGTCATTACTAGGATTTGCTTAAGAGCTTCTGGTTTTCTATTTTCTTTCTGGTTCTTAAGAATTTAAGAAAGTATAATGTTTTTTAACATACTGTGATTATTGAATTTTTTTAATAAGCATATAACTAACTTACTTTTTTCTTTCAATTACTAATTTTTTGATCTTATATTCAGTTTTTTTGGCATATTTCAGAGTTATATAATTTGTGTGTTATTACTAGTATTTGCTTAAAAACTTTCAATTTTCTATTTTCTTTTTGGTTTTTAAGAATTCAAAAAAGTATAATGTTTTTTAATATGCTGCGATTATTAAATTTTTTTAATAAGCATATAACTAACTTATTTTTCTCTTTTAATTACTAATTTTTTGAGCTTAAATTTAGTTTTTTGGCATATTTTAGGGTTGTATGATTTGTGCAACATTACTAGGATTTGCTTAAAAACTTCTAGTTTTCTATTTTTTTTCTGGTTTTTAAAAATTCAAAGAAGTATAATGTTTTTTAATATGCTGCAATTATTGAAATTTTTTAATAAGCATATAACTAACTTACTTTTTTCTTTCAATTACTAATTTTTTAAGCTTATATTCGGTTTTTTGGCATATTTCAGGGTCATATGATTTGTGTATTGTTACTAGAATTTGCTTAAGAGCTTCCAGTTTTCTATTTTCTTTCTAGTTCTTAAGAATTCAAGAAAGTATAATGTTTTTTAATATGCTGCAATTATTGAATTTTTTTAATAAACACAACTCTCCCCGATGATCACTTGTACCAAATTTCACACCAACAAAAATTGAAAACTTATTGGAGAAAGCAGAAGAGGCTACTATATAAATAACAGTTTTTATAAAGGTCAAAGTGGTTCTTCTATACTGGACTCCTTTATATATTTAGCAAGCAAACTAAAAGCATGCAT